GGAAAGATCACACAGAGCAGCTTGTGAACCCCCGCGGTGGAGCATGCGTCCCCATCCTCCTGCAGGCTCTCTGCAGCCAATGGGGCCCAGGCACCCAAGTGCCCGGAGGACACTCCCTGTCTCTTGGCCAGGGCTCCTGTCTTGGCACACAGGTGCTCTTGATTCTGTCACTTGGGAATGGTTTTCTTTAGGGGTGGAGATCGCGGTTGGCAGCAGCGGGTCTTGCTGGATTTCGTCTTCTGATCGGTGGGCAGCTCAGCTGTTTCTTTGGCCTAGACCTGGATGTACTGGCCTCTGATTTCATGGTCGTCTTCTGGGTTTTATGAGACTCGTATAAATATTCAGGTCCCCAAACTTAAGTTGATCACTTGGCGACCGACCGCAGTGTGCACATTTCCCTCTTTCCACAGAAGCACTGCTTTCGAAGCTTTGCTTTGCTCTTCCTGTTTTTGAGTTTTGTTCTCTGCAGCTTGTTGTCAGGATTCGGCTCAGGGCCACAAGCTCATGAGCGGTCCCACCTTGCCTCGGTGGTGTCTGCTGTGGCAGAGGCAGACCTGTGTTCCACTGGAGTCGCTCAGGATGAGTTCCCGTTTCATTTGAATGACGGTTCTAGCTTTTTGAATGTCCTTGTTGGCTAATTCTAAAATCTTCGACAGATCGTTGTGATTTGTTTTGATGGGTGTGTGGCAGCTGCAGGTCTGTGGGGCTCCATGTGCTGGTGCAACACACTCACCGCGTCAGTGTTCAGGTGGGGCAGAGGGCACGCCCGTCATGGCCAGCTTAGCATTCTTGTGGTTGGAACATGGAAAACCTTCCTTCTCGCTGTTGTGACATGGCCTTCTTTTTACTGAGCCTGCCCTACTGTGCTCACTGTTAACTGAGTCACCCTACTGTGTGAGGGAACTGGAACCCCAGCCTCCTATCTCACTGAGGCTTCCTTCCTATCAACTGACTCCTGTCCTAGCCTCTGTAACCTGGGTCAGTTTGGATCGGTTGGTTTTTGTCCTGATTTTGGTTGTATTTTCCTGTCTCTGTGCACATTTGATAATTTCTGAGTGGAGTCCAGATATTGGAGATTTTCTCTTGTTAGGTGTTGGATATTTTGTGTTTGATAAATATTCTTAAACTTTGGGAAGGGATAGCTCTTTTCTGCTTTTGCTCCTAAAATTCGTTAGCTGGGACCAGATCAGCATTAGTCCAGGGCTGATTATTCCCCCTGAGAAGAAAGGTCTACCCCTGGCTGGGGACTGGCCCTGTTTGGCCCTGGGGACCCCAGAGCTGCTCCCTGTACCCCTGTCTGGTCATTCTCGTCCTGACCAGCGTGCTCTGAGTGCGAGCAGGTGTCTCTGGAAATCCAAGAGCCCGCTGCACACCCACCCGCGGGCTTCCTTGGTCTTCAGGACTGAGCTCTCTCTTCTCAAGGGCCCCCTGTGCTTTGACTGGGCCCCCCACCCTGACCTGCCAGCTGACAGGCCCAGGCAGGGGTAGTCACAGGGTTCCCTTGTTTCCTGCCCTCGGGATTGTTCTTCCTCTATCGCCTGAGGTCCTGGTCTGCAAGACCATTGTTTGACATACTTTGTCTATATTTAAAAAAATGTGTTTCAGATAGGGAGAGTCTGGTCACCCTTGCCCCCCCTGCCTGGAACAGAAGTCTCAGGCCCTGAACTTGCGTCCAGGCTGCCAGCGGCTTTGGAACATTCCAGGCCACAGAGTCACGGCCAGGTGTGTTTCCCCGGCTCTCGAGTCCAGGTTTCTGCTTCCTGCCCACGGTGGATTGCCCCCGTGTGCTACACTTATTTGCTTTTGAGTCTGTTCTGTTTTAAACTAAAAACTCATGGTGAAGAAAGCCAAGGCAGTTTTGAAGAAGAGGGGCTTTGTCCTCCTTGGTTTGCTGATGGACAGTATGACGTGGATGCAGAGAGAGATGAACAGACATGGGGGATGAGTGTCCTTTTGCTGCTGTGACAGATTTCCACAGGTGACTTGAAACAGTGCAGCCTTATCATTGTGTGGCTCTAGAAGTCAGAGTCCAGAGTGGGTCTTGGGCTCAAATCCAGGCGTCAGCAGGACAGGCTCCTGGAGGTGGTAGGGGGAGCCTTTCCTCGCCCTCTAGAGGCTGGAGGCGCCTGTGTCCCGCGGCCCTCCTCCCTCTGCAGAGGGCAGCTGGCCTCTTCAGCCCCACCCTTGACTCTGACCCTAAGGCCTTCTTTTACTTAACAAGGACAGTGGTGGTGCGCTGGGCCTGCCCTGACCATCCAGCACAGTCTCCCCACCCCAGTCAGCTGATCAGCAGCCTTACTTCCCTTGACAGTGTACAGGACACACTGGTAGGCGTGGGTGTTAAGACGTGGACGTCCTGGGCATGGGGAGCACTTAACTCTGCCCACCAAAAGGAGGACAGATGGAATAGCCAATAAATGGTGCGGCATGATTAGCTGTCCATGTGGAAAACAAAATTCAATCCAAACTTCATTACAGTACAAAAATAAATTCCAGATGGAATAAAAAACAGAACTTTAGAAATTTCAGAAAAAGTTAGAATTAGAAGATTAGAATTAAAAGAATTAAAAATTAAAATTAGAAGAAAGATCGTAAAAAGCTTTTCTCTCTGTCAGGTGTGGTGGCATATGCCTGTCATTCCAGTGGCTTGGGAGGCTGGGGCAGGAGGATTGTGAGTTCAAAGCCAGCCTCAGCAACTTAGCAAGACTCTGTCTCTAAATCAAATGTAAAAAAGGGCTGGGGATGTGCCTCAGTGGTTAAGCACCCTTGGTACAATCCCTGGCACCAAAAAAAACCCCAAAAAACAAAATTCCTCTAAATCAATAAGCTACAGATAAACAAAAAGAAAATAGAAGACACGAGGAGGAAATTCTTGGAGAAGAAATCAGGGTGACTGATAAACGTATGGAAGATGCTCAGTTTTACTAGAGATTGGAGAATGCGAGGTAAGACAAGAAATCCTTTCTCCTCTTGTGGAAAGTCCAGCTGTCTGATAGCGTGAGGTCAGCAGGGATGTGGTTAGGAGGGGCTCTCACCACCCAGGGGGATGAGGCGCGCAGGCTGCTTCCTGGAGCAGCTTCAGGGAGTTGAGCTGACACCCACGACACCTTCCCAGGTGTCTGTTAGAACAGAGAGTTCCTGTGGGACGGAGCGGGGTCAAGGAGGCTTGTGACACTTTTTAGTAGTCAGGGATCAAAAGCACTGCCTGCTTCGCAGCTGGGGAGCAGCAGGCCATGGCCTCTGCACTCCAGGTAGGTGAAGGGAGCTCTTCTCGCACCGCGGTCAACCTGTAGCACATTGTGCTGGACGCAAACAGCAGGTCCTGGAAGGAGAGGCCGGGCCATCAGGCATGCCACTCGCCTCCTGCCTGATGCTACACTCTGTCCTCAGTCCTCAGCTGTAAAATGGGAGGGGCTAATGGCAAAAATATGAAGAACGAAGCTTGAGGACTCTGAGGACAGAATTGGGAATGCTTTAGTGACTTCCAGGGTGGGAGGCTTCCACCAGCCACAGAGAGGATCGAAATATGACGGCATCAAGATAGGAAAACCCTTTCCCACGGAGCAGACTTCACAAAGAAAGTGAGAAGGCAGATCTCCGCCCGGAAGAGGTTGCAAAGCATACACCACTGAGTTAGACTCAGCCCTGGAGGTGCTTCTCTAAGCCAGGTCTGGGTGAGCAGCAGGGAGCAGAAGTGGGCCCAGAGCACGGGAAACAGGGTCGGGCCTGGCGGGGCAGGGGCTGTCCTTAGTATCACCATGCCCTTGCTGTTGCCTGCCTTCTGGTTGGCACCATCAGTGGGCAGTGACCACCTGCCTGGACTCCTTTTGACCAAGGGTTTGCTGAAACAGAGACTGAGTCTTGCTGGAA